ACAGATGACTGTAGCTGATGTGTGTGTATATATATATATATATATATATATATATTTTTAAAGACCCTGGCGCCTGAGTAGTTGTTCTAAGGAAGACATTTTCCACTGTGTGGTTCAAGTTATTCAATTCATTCTCATTCTGTCCTAAATTACACAAGTGAGCAACATTTTAGCCTTGTTTGCTCTTCTGTGAACAAAGGCTGTTTATTTTCTCCTCCACGATGTTCTTGGTTGTGTCTCTCTGCTTCATAATTTATGAGTCCACACAGAAAATGATAAGCCACACATACTGAACAATTACACCTAGAGGGATGTCTGTATGAGAGAGAGTAGTAGTAGTAATTACTGGTAAAGGCATTTGTAGTTTACATAGCACATCACATTTGTCATAATAAATGTTGTGAGCTTGGACTGTCTAGTTAAATAAGGGCTTTTCAGCAACACGTGTAAAGCTATTCTTTTTTCCAGTTTAAAAACATGCAGGTCAGTACATTTGTTGACATTTTTCTCTATTGACAGTGAAACCAATGGCAGTAACATGCAATGCATAGCGTGTTTGCGGAATATGATAATATCAAACCAGACAAGTCAACTGATAATCATCTCATTGAAGATTCACATCATTACACTGATTCTTGTCAATTTCAGGTTAAATTATTGTCTGCTGTCATGGATTCAGATCTAATTTCTGGAGAATTAGATAAACCTATTACTTTTGTTGTTGATCCATCAGTCTGTATCTTTGTCTACCCTTTTATCTTCAAGCCGTGTTGGGAACCTTTTGAAATATTTTCTGAATCAGACAGTAACAACAGACGGTGCTGTCAATTACCAACAATATTTTTGTCTGTCTTTCTGTGAGGAGAGCTCTCCAGCTGTATTGTATTTTCTGTGAAATATTTTGTTTTTTGGATTCTGGCTTGTGTTCAGATATAAAAGGGCACATTTTTCACTCTGTAAACCGTATTGATCCATCACTCCTGAAACTATTTAGTGTCTTCTACTGAGAAAACCCTTTTACTTTATAGTGAACAACACTCTTTCTTTTGTTTTTCAGCTAAAATGTTGTGAGTGATTCTATGTGGCACGTATTGATTCTTAATTCTCTCTTACTGGGTATCATCCAACTCTGACTTTGTCTTGTCTGTCTTTATGTGACTTTCCTGCCCACAAGGAGAGAGAAAATCACACAAAACCTATTCAGTATTTGAAAATTACAAGAAAAGTGGAGGGAAGGCTGATTATACACCAGAAACTGGTTGAATAAAGATAACATAAAAGACGTGAAGGAGATATTCTTGATTGCTTTTAATAATGAGTGCTATATTTTAGATATCATAACAAATCATCCTCATTTGCATGTGCAACATAGTTGCTTACAGTTACAGCTGCACCTCTTGCACTGCTTCACATAGGTATTGTAAAACTATTGTGACATGTATTGTAGTCGCATAACCGGTCCTTCTCATACACTCAGTGCAGATCTTTGAAAATGAACAGTGTTACCTGCACAAGAAAAAAATAATTGTTTACATTATAAATGTACATAAGAGGAGCATG